CCCACAGGCCTGTGGTCTCGGGGCCCAGAGCTGGGGTCCTGGCACCGCTGCCTCGACTCCTTCACAGAGAGGGCGGCCGAACCCACACCCTGAGCAGGCGACGGAGCAGAGGACGGAGCGAAGAGCCGGTCTCTCCCCCATCCCCACACCCGGTCCCCTCCTGGCTGCCATCACAGGGCCTGTCCCCGCCCCGGGTGTGGGCCTCGTCCTCGGGTGCCCTTCGCACAACTGGCCTGCGAGGACTCGGCTCACACTGTCCAGCTGCACCCGGAGACGGGAGGGGACAAGGTCACCTGTGCCTGGAAATGAGAGGGGACAAGGTCACCTGTGTGAGATGGGAGGGGACAAGGTCACCTGTGTGAGGAGATGGGAGGGCACAAGGTCACTGTGTCAGGAGACGGAAGGGGACAAGGTCACCTGTGTGAGGAGACGGGAGGGGACGAGGTCACCTGTGTGAGGAGACGGGAGGGGACAAGGTCACCTGTGTGAGGAGACGGAAGGGGGCAAGGTCACCTGTGCTGGTGGCCCGGCCTCCGCGGGAAGAGAACACGCCCCCATGACTTCTCCCGGACGCACTGGAAGCCGGGCGAGAGCGCTGTCAGCGATGGTGACCCAGGGACCGGGGAGGGGAGGACGCAGAGGAGGGACGCCGGCCAGCCCAGCGGGTAATTAAGAGCCAGTAACTGTGAGGCGGCTCAGGGGGGAGCCGATCAGGGCAGGAGCCGCCCACCTCGCTCGGCCCTGCTCCGCTCCCTCTCGGGAATACACGGCTTTGCTGCAAAGAAACATTCCTTGTTCACGTCCCGCACGGCTGTGATCTGAGGGAAGGCGCTGGGTGAAGTTTAGCCGACAATTGACCTCACAGCCTCGCTCAGCAAGGCCTCCGGAGCCTGCGATCACGCCTCCGCCCTGCACCCCACGATCAATCAATCCCAGGGCCTGGTCCCCTCCACACCTGGCAGAGCCTGCACCCCCCCAGCCCCCGCCCGATGCCCTGAGCCTCACTGAGCCTCCTGGAGGGTGTGAGGGGCTGAGTGGTGGCCCCAGAGGCGCTGAGGCCGTCCCCCCAGAACCTGTGGGCGGGGCACACAGTCGTGGTAAAGGGACCATGGAGGCTGAGAGCGGAGCGTAAATGTGGTCGCTTATTTGAAATATTGAACAAGGCGGCCATATCCTAGGACCAGCGGAAGAGTAACATCGTCCCGGACGGAAGCACAGAACGGTCAGCTGACCCAACGGGCACCTGGGAGGAAATCGGTGACACTGTTATTTTTTAAGTTAATTTTTAACCTTTCTTTTTTTAAAATGGTTTTTATTAATTTCAGAGGGAGGAAGAAATAGAAACATCAATGCTGAGAGAGAATCATGGACCAGCTGCCTCCTGCACGCCCCCCACTGGGGATGGAGCCCGAAACCCGGCATGTGCCCTTGACCAGGAATGGAACCCTGACCTCCTGGGTCACAGGTTGACACTCAGCCACGGAGCCACGGAGCCACGCAGCCACACAGCCGGGCTCGCCGGGGCCGTGTCTGCGGGTCGTTTCTTCTCACGGGGTGCCCTCTGCCTCTCCTTGGCCCCCCACAGAGAGGAGCCTCCCGATGAGGACACTCACCGCTCGGCCGGGGCCCCACCCTCGTGGCCTCCTGCACCCTCACCCCTGCCTCGCGGGCCCAGCGCCCCCTGGGTTGGGCCTCAGCGTGTGAACTGGGGGGTATGATATTCGTCCATAGCTCACCCACGGTTCTCAACCTCCACGAAGCTCTGGGATCGCGGCCCTGGAATTCCTAGGCGGGAGGCGCCATAGAGTTCAGACAGAGAGAGAGACGGGCGGGGGGGGGGCGGGGGGGCAGAGGGCATGAACAAGGATCCAACCAACTGAGCCACCAACCAGAGCTCCCTATGCTAGGTTTTGAACATTAGATATTAAAAGGAGCTTAGAGAGACCCTTTCTCTTCTAATTCACCCTCTTTTTTATAGATGGAAACTGCCGCCCAGGGAGGTTCATTTGCAAACAGTTATAAAAAGGGAAAGCCAAGGTTAGAACTAGATTCTGGCTACTAATTCATTGCTCTTTTCACGGACCCTACTTTTCATCCAATATCTGCTCCTGCCTGCAGATCATCTGACAACAGTAGAAAATTAAACCAATTTATCTGGGAGAGAGATCTCAAGAGCCCCACTCCATCACCATAAACTCAAAGCCTTCTTCAAAGAAATTTTTAGCAGCTTAGTATACTAGTAAGAGAGATACTAAACCCCAAAGTCATAGTTTCAATTCCTGGTCGCCTTACTGTTTGGCTTCAGGCTATAAATCTCAGTTGCTTTACCTGTAATGTGCCAAGCATTATGATAAGCACTTTACATGTAATATTATTTCATTTTCATAGAAACCCTATTTATGTAGAAGAAAAAGCTTCCTCACATAAGGGTGTGTGAAGATGAATTCATATAATGTAGGTGATAACAAGTGTGTGGTACTGAGTACATGGGCATTTCTCTTTTTCTCCCCTCATTCTGAATAATTTACATATGACTTTGTTTGGCTTCACTCAGTCAATAAATATTGAGCATTTACTGTGTACCCATTGCTGTAATGGGTGCTATGGTGCTCTATGAAGGAGGAATAGTGTGAAGAAAGGATCAGAAGCAAGAATGCCCAAGGTGAGCAGTCTTGGTATTTTTCCATCAACAATGATAATAATAATAATATTTTGACCACTAATTATATGCCAGGAAGTTTGCTAAGTGCTTTACATGACTTATTTTATTCATTCAGTAACTTATATAGAAGTATATATTCTTATTTTCCCAATTGTTCTAAGGAAACTGAAGTTCAGAGGGTTAAAAAAACTTCTTTAGGGTCAGAACTGAGACACAAACTCTTAACCATTATATCATATTCCAAGGAAATGAACCCACTGGGTAGTTTATCAGCTGTTAAACAGAATGTATAGCCCTCAGGAAAAAAATAATCACAATCATATCATCTTCACCTATTTTAGTCTAGGTTAGCCACTTCTTTCTCATTTGTCAACATGCAAATTCTACCACCCCATTGGACTTATTGTGGGCATTAAATAATTTTCATAAAAAAGGAGGAGGAGGAGGAGGAAGCAGGGGGGCGGGGAGGTGAGAGAAGAGGAAGAGGAGAAGGAGAAAGAGGAGGAGGAGAAGGAGGAGAAGGAGGTGGAGGAGGAGGAAGAGGAGGAGGTGGAGGAGGTCTACTGGTTTCTTGTAAGAAGGCGGCCGGGCTGGAGCAGGGCCAGCAGGAGTGAGGGCGTCGCGGAGGCCGTGGGAGGAGCGGCAGAAGATGCTGAGGGCCGGGGGCCGCCAGGAAACGCTGGGTCAGGACGGAGGTCCCACTGTCGGACTTGCACGTGTCTTCATCCCCGTAACACCGCGTTCTGGGACAGAAGAGTGTGCGGCTGCCGGGAAGGTCCGCCTCGGCACTAATTTTCCATTTACAGCGTCAGTGAAAGGCTGTCCCACGGCTGGCTCCCGGCTGACACCTTGATCCATGGTGTTTTCGCCCGGAGCGCACATTTTATTGCCGCATTATAAAGTCTGATAAAATAGTGCTCCTCGTAGGGGTGCTCGACAGAAGCTACAACATCGGTACAAGCGTCGTGACGCTCCCGGCACCCGGGAGGCGTGCGGAGTCAGGCGCACTCGTTCGGTGTTGGAGTTTTCATTTCTCTTTAAATAAAGGTTGACGTACCTCGTAAAGCCAGTTCCCCGCAGAGGTCCGTGCGTTTAGCCAGAGGCTCCACCACAGTAGTGAGTCGCAGGCAGTTCTCGTGTGTCTGTCTAGGCCACCCCGGTTCTCCTCCTTTGTTCTGCCACCGGGCGAGTGGCGGGTGACTGAGGATGTGAGCGGTTCCTCCTGGGGTCGGCGCTACTGGGCCCGAGGTCAGAGTGCGTCCTTCGCTGGAGCTGGACCGAGCGGCTGCGTCTCCTGCAGCGTCCCCTTGTCCGTGTCCCTAAGACACTGGCCCCGATTCTCTTCGCTCGTTAATCACGTCCGCCATTTCGGTCTTGGTGAGACGCCGGCCTCACAGGAACGGGAGGCATCCCGCCTGCACGTCCGAGAGAAGTTATGTATTTGGACGTTATGTGTCCCGTAAGGATTTGCGAGAATTCTCCACAAAGCCATCTGGGATTGGACTTCTCTGAGGGTAGATTGTCTGTTGGTTTGTTGGCTTCCAAGTTCCACTTCTGTTGTTGCTAGAGGGCGATTCACATTCTCTAATTGTTTCTTTTTTATTTTTATTTTTTTTACTCTGGTGGCCCCAGAGGCGCTGAGGCCGTCCCCCCAGAACCTGTGGGCGGGGCACACAGTCGTGGTAAAGGGACCACGGAGGCTGAGAGCGGAGCGTAAATGTGGTCGCTTATTTGAAATATTGAACAAGGCGGCCATATCCTAGGACCAGCGGAAGAGTAACATCGTCCCGGACGGAAGCACAGAACGGTCAGCTGACCCAACGGGCACCTGGGAGGAAATCGGTGACACTGTTATTTTTTAAGTTAATTTTTAACCTTTCTTTTTTAAAAATGGTTTTTATTACTTATCTGTCTGTTTCCTACTGTCCAACGTATGCACTCCTGGTGTCCTTGTCACCCACTGCCACCACCATCATCACTATCATCACTATGAGCATCCCCAGTCTCCACTGTCACCCTCATTATCCCTGTTATTGTCCTGGTCACTGCCACCACCATCATCTCCATCATCACCATCATCACCATCATCTCCATCATCTCCATCATCACCACCATCACCACCACCACCATCATCACCATCATCACCATCATCACCATTATGACCACCATCACCACCATCACCACCACCACCATCATCACCATCATCACCATCATCACCATTATGACCACCATCACCACCATCACCACCACCACCATCATCACCATCATCACCATCATCACCATTATGACCACCATCACCACCATCACCACCACCACCATCATCACCATCATCACCATCATCACCATTATGACCACCATCACCACCATCACCACCACCACCATCATCACCATCATCACCATCATCACCACCATCACCATCATCACCATTATCACCACCATCACCACCATCACCACCACCACCATCATCACCATCATCACCATCATCACCACCATCACCATCATCACCATTATCACCACCATCACCACCATCACCACCACCACCATCATCACCATCATCACCATCATCACCACCATCACCATCATCACCATTATCACCACCATCACCACCATCACCACCACCACCATCATCACCATCATCACCATCATCACCATCACCACTACCATCACCTACATCATCACCATTATCACCATCACCACTATCACCATCATCACCATTATCAACACCATCATCACCACCATAATCACCACCACCATCATCATCACCATCACCTCCATCATCACCATCATCACCATCGTGCCCACTGCCCAGGACTGACAGGGAACCGGGCCTTGGGGGTTATTAAACACCAGAGTGTAATTCCTGTTAACATTTCCAATGTGGACACCTTCAGGAGAGCGGACGTGATTTTGGCCAGACATCCTGTGAGGAAATTAGTTCCTTTGGCTAAAGTATCTTAATAATGACAATGACATTGAGGTTAATTGCTTCATCTGGATCCTCACGGCCGCTCAAGTCCCTGCACAGCCTGTGCCAGACCTGGGGCCCTGGCGGCCGCATTCTGAGCCACCTTCACGGAGCGATAGCCAGGTCAGGACTCCGGGCAGCTGACCCGCCGGGATCTGTGATCCGTGAAGCTGGTAGCCAGAGCACACAGGGGTGGGGAGCCAGGGTTTAATTCTGGTCAAGGCCACATACCTGGGTTGCAGGCTCAATCCCTGGCCCTGGTCGGGACGCATGTGGGAGGCAACCAATCAATGAGTCTCTCTCACATCGATGTTTCTCTCTGTGTGTCTCTCCCCCTCCCTTCCACTCTCTCAAAAAAAAAAAATCAAAAGAAAAAATATCCTGGGGTGAGAATTAATAAACAACAAAAAAGAGTAATACGTGCAGTTTTGGCGGTGTGAGTGGTCGGTGCCCCTGACCCCCATGTTGTTCAAGGGTCAATTGTATCTTATAGACACTTGTGCCAAATCTGAAATAAAACATTAACAAATTTTTAACTAATTATGACTAAAGACAACTAAAAATCACATACATGATTATGTGGTGAGAGCTTATGCTGACATGCAGTAGGTCAGAGTCGACATGTCTACCACTAGAAACACACAGAGAGATGGCCAAAGGGTACGTGAAAGGAGCTCAGCATCACCAATCATCAGGGAAGTCAAACTAGAGCCACATGAGACATCACCTCATACTGGTCGGAACGTCTATCACCAAAGAGACAGGAGCTCACACGTGTTGCCGAGGACGTGGAGAAAAGGGACCCCTCTCGCACAGCTGGTGGGTGGAGCCACTATGGAAAAGAGTGCGGAGACTCCTCAAAAAAACAAGAGTAGAACAACCACACGACCCAGCAATTCCACTTCCAGGCACATATTCGAAGGAAGTGGAATCACTATCATGAAGAGACCTCTGCAACCCCATGCTCACTGCACATTACTCACAACAGCCAAGACGTGGAAACGACCTAGTGTCCGTGGATGGATGATGGATGGATGATGGATGGATGGATGATGGGTGGATGGATGGATGGATGGATGGATGGATGGATGGATGGATGGATGGATGGATGGATGGATGGATGGATGGATGGATGGATGGATGGATGGATGGATGGATGGATGGATGGATGGATGGATGGATGGATGGATGGATGGATGGATGGATGGATGGATGGATGGATGGATGGATGGATGGATGGATGGATGGATGGATGGATGGATGGATGGATGGATGGATGGATGGATGGATGGATGGATGGATGGATGGATGGATGGATGGATGGATGGATGGATGGATGGATGGATGGATGGATGGATGGATGGATGGATGGATGGATGGATGGATGGATGGATGGATGGATGGATGGATGGATGGATGGATGGATGGATGGATGGATGGATGGATGGATGGATGGATGGATGGATGGATGGATGGATGGATGGATGGATGGATGGATGGATGGATGGATGGATGGATGGATGGATGGATGGATGGATGGATGGATGGATGGATGGATGGATGGATGGATGGATGGATGGATGGATGGATGGATGGATGGATGGATGGATGGATGGATGGATGGATGGATGGATGGAAATCATCACCTCATCACTACCATCACCTCCATCATCACCATCATCACCATCATGCCCACTGCCCAGGACTGACAGGGAACCGGGCCTTGGGGGTTATTAAACACCAGAGCGTAATTTCTGTTAACATTTCCAATGTGGACACCTTCAGGAGAGCGGACGTGATTTTGGCCAGACATCCTGTGAGGAAATTAGTTCCTTTGGCTAAAGTATCTTAATAATGACAATGACATTGAGGTTAATTGCTTCATCTGGATCCTCACGGCCGCTCAAGTCCCTGCACAGCCTGTGCCAGACCTGGGGCCCTGGCGGCCGCATTCTGAGCCACCTTCACGGAGCGATAGCCAGGTCAGGACTCCGGGCGGCTGACCCGCCGGGATCGGTGATCCGTGAAGCCGGTGGCCAGAGCACACAGGGGTGGGGAGCCAGGGTTCAATTCTGGTCAAGGCCACATACCTGGGTTGCAGGCTCAATCCCTGGCCCTGGTCGGGACGCATGTGGGAGGCAACCAATCAATGAGTCTCTCTCACATCGATGTTTCTCTCTCTGTGTCTCTCCCCCTCCCTTCCACTCTCTCTAAAAAAAAAAAAAAAACAAAAGAAAAAATATCCTGGGGGGAGAATTAATAAACAACAAAAAAGAGTAATACGTGAAGTTTTGGCGGTGTGAGGGGTCGGTGCCCCTGACCCCCATGTTGTTCAAGGGTCAATTGTATCTTATAGACACTTGTGCCAAATCTGAAATAAAACATTAACAACTTTTCAACTAATTATGACTAAAGACAACTAAAAATCACATACATAATTATGTGGTGAGAGCTTATGCTGACATGCAGTAGGTCAGAGTCGACATGTCTACCACTAGAAACACACAGAGAGATGGCCAAAGGGTACGTGAAAGGAGCTCAGCATCACCAATCATCAGGGAAGTCAAACTAGAGCCACATGAGACATCACCTCATACTGGTCGGAACGTCTATCACCAAAGAGACAGGCGCTCACACGTGTTGCCGAGGACGTGGAGAAAAGGGACCCCTCTCGCACAGCTGGTGGGTGGAGCCACTATGGAAAAGAGTGCGGAGACTCCTCAAAAAAACAAGAGTAGAACAACCACACGACCCAGCAATTCCACTTCCAGGCACATATTCGAAGGAAGTGGAATCACTATCATGAAGAGACCTCTGCAACCCCATGCTCACTGCACATTACTCACAACAGCCAAGACGTGGAAACGACCTAGTGTCCGTGGATGGATGGATGGTGGATGGATGGATGATGGATGGATGGTGGATGGATGGATGATGGATGGATGATGGATGGATGGATGATGGGTGGATG